GCAACACACATTGGGGGTCTCGTGGGACTCTCACCCCAGTAACCCTAAATATTAGAGATTAAAATTCTTTTGATCGAAAATGAAAAGACTCAGCTCTACGCCGGCTTTCGGGAGTCCCGTCGGAGATCCGGTGACTTCACGGACATCGACGTCACCGGACTCCTCCCCCTTCCCCAAGTGACTCCGTCGGCTAACAAAGGGAAGGGGGGAGGGAGTCCGGTGACGTCGAAGTCCGTAATACTTATGTTTAAATCACCCTTAAGGGCTTTGCTGTTTTACTATACTATGTAAATACATTTGTAATCCAGCACGTTATTATTCTGAGTTGCCCCACTCAAGCGGCGGCCATATTGAGTGGGGCACGTGAGATGAATAACGTGCTGGATCCTAGTTCATGTTATTACTTCATTGCTGTGCTGTATGTGTATAGGCCAATGTAGTTGGATCTGGATGTGCGTTATAATTAATCGATATTAATCGATTTAAAAAAAATTTGATTAATCGAACACGAAAATTTTAATCCTTACCAGCCCTACTAATAATGGGTATAAAGAAAAGGCAGGAGGTCGGTTAGTACAAGCTTATTTTATTCAGAATCCACCTTGAAACATATTTACAATACTGTGGCAGTTGATAATACGACGATGCAGCTAAGCCATGATACATAAAGTACTGTGTAGTCTTTTAGTCGTGTTACACTTTAGAGACTATGTGGCTCTTACACAACGTCAGCTAGTGTTATTTTCCCAAAAAACATATATTAAGTCTGATAAAATCCTGATTTTTTTTTTCTTTATGTATATATATATATATATATTTATATGGCATTTTCCCCCCATAGGCACTGCAAGCAAGGTGTCCGAAGGGAGACACTGAGTAACGCAATCTGCTAAGTGATATATACAAAGTGATAGAACTTCAATCTAGGCGCAGTAAGAATAGGATGTAAGATTAATCAAGTGAGGCTCTTATGTCAACTGAAATTTGTGTTAATAACATTGCCTATCCGTTAGAATAACATCTATAGCTTATATTACTTTTCCTTGTACGATTAATTGAACCAAAGCTGTGTAAACTGGACATATAAAAACACTTCCAAAAATATTCTAATGTAATTGTTTTGTGTCTTCTCGCCCACATATGTTTTTTTTTTACAAACATACATTTGTTCCCTTTTGTCCACCCATTCATTCAGATACTCCCCACCTTGTACATCATCCCAATACTTTTGAAGCTTTTCGATTTTTTATTTTTTTTTTACATCCCCATTAACTCTATGGCCTGCAAATTCCTGTGATCATTCATTCTGTGCAAATAGAAGCGAAAGTTATTTTCACGTCGAATGTAACTTTTTAAAAAATACCCCATTATGGCCACTAGATAGCGCTGAGGAGCATAGGAAAGAAGAATTTATTTTCTATGCTCCTCAGCTCCATCTAGTGGCCATAATGAGGTATTTTCCAAAAGATATATTCAACCTGAAAAAATAAAAAAATCCAAGGTTCACCATGGTAATTTCCGCCTCTGCTCAGCTGATATTGATATATATGAATGCAATAGAGGTGGACAGCAACCACCATTGACATAAATGACATATCTTCTATACTACAAAGCTGATTCATGCAGTGTGGCTGGAGCGGCTTAACTTGGAGCGCTTCCCAGATCTGGTGGTCCGCCTCTTAAGAAGAATACAGGTTATATAGTTGTTACATAAAACATTTGCATCAATGCATATTTAGCTATCAGTATTATCATCTGCAGTGTTACTTAGTAGGGATGAGCTTTGGGATCACGTGTTCTGCCCGAACCCAAGGTTTTCGCAGTTCGCCATCTGGGCTAACGATTTGGCCATTTCACCCACCCATCAAACCTCTGTCTGCAGCCAGGCAACCGAGCAAGTCAATGATTGACTGGTGGCTGAGCCACACAGCCTCATAGATTGCTCGGTGGGTGGGGTTTTAATAGCCAGTCTGCTATTGGCTATTTTAATTTTAAATGACATCCACCTGACGCCGAAGCTAGAATGGGGCCGAGTGTGGGGGACGACGATTGGGGGTGCAAATAGCTGGTCTTGCCTAGGGCGCAAAATAGTCTAGCACCGGCCATGTGATCATATACAATATCACGCTGCCCTCCACAGATGAACTCTCTACATGTAGTGGTCCCTATATGTTTTATCCCCTCCCCCGACAAATCCTATAGGTACTCATTCCACATTGGCTATGTTGCCGCACTCTAGTAAAATAAAGTGCAACTTTTTATTCTATTCTTATTTATTATTTCATAATTAAACGTGTTCATTTGCTTTTTTTTTTTGGCGTCGTCATTACCTCTTCGCCAACTTACAATCTCCATCTCAAAATGGCACAGCTTTCTTCATACATATATAATGATAAGTCCTTGTAGTAGAATGAAATGAGCTCAAATATGATGTAAATGACATAACGGAGGTACAAGCAAGTAAGTTTGTTTAATTTCACAATTTCTGTGCATGCAGCAAAGCCTCCACTTGTACATTTGGGCATTTTTCTTCCTAACCAAGCAAAAGGCAGTATGGATATCTCTATGGTAAAGTGTATGATCTATTTTTCCAGTTTGTTTGGTGTCATGACTCACTTTAGTTCATCTTCGTAAGCAAATCCTTTTTTTTGTGTGAATCTGGTATTAGCTTGCAGGGCAAGCTGACCAAGGTGCTGCTAATTGTGAGCAATGGTCTTAAAGGAGAACTATGAGGGGAGTGCTTTTCACTCACCTCATAGTTCTAGACGACCTGTGACAATGAGACTGTCACAGGTCGGCTCAGTAGATCGGAAAGTGAGGGAACACATACCGGCGTTCGCTCACCTCTCGATCCTGTCACGGCTCTCTGCCGTGACAGGGGAGGGGCTGGATTCCCCTCTCCCCGCTCCGATCCGCCAGCGCTGACTGGCGGAACGGACGGGGGAGGGGGCGGGTAAAGCTGGTTTTGCCTCTAGATAGGAAGAGCCTGCTGTCAGTCACGCAGCTGGGTCGGATCTCGACGTCCATGTCGAGATCCGCTCCGGCTGCGGCGGTCTCAGTATACAGCGAGCTGTAGCTCGCGGTATACTGAGCTTAGGGTAACGGGAGGACGCTAGTTTGTGTCCTCCCTTTACGCCAAGGAGAACTATGGGGAAAACACTGACCCCATAGTTCTCCTTTAAAAGAGAACTATGGGGTAAGTGTTTTTCCCCCATAGATCTCTTAAGGGTCACGGTAGGACATATACTAGCGTCCTCCCGTGGCCCAAAGCTCAGTATATAGCGAGCTACAGCTCGCTGTATACTGAGACCGCCGCAGCCGGTACAATACTGTCGAGACCCACCCAGCTGCGTGAATGACAGCTGGCTCTGCCTTTCTAGAGGCAGAGCCAGCTGTACCCACCCCCTCCCCCGTTTCTCCAGTCGGCGCTGGAGCATCGGAACAGGAAGGGGTAGAATCCCTGAGGGGAGCGATGACTGACAGTCACGGCTCTCTGCAGGGAGATGATGGAGAAGTGAGCGAGCGCCGGTATGTGTTCTCTCACTTCCCGACGAGCCGACGTTCTGTCACACGTCGGCTACAACTATGAGGATGAGTGATTTTCATAGTTCTCCTTTAAGTGTTGTCAGCCTCAAACAGGAAGTTCTGCAGGATCTTCGGGTCAGAAGCGTTGCAACAGATTCATCAAAAAATATTTGCTTGAGAAAACTGGATACAATGCTGCCAAACATACCGAAATAGGTTCTTTCCGACTTTAGAAAGCTTTGAAAAAAAAACATTAAAAAAATTCTTGAAGGTTTGTAATTTCTCTGTAACTCCGGTCTGGAACCTTAACATGGTCATGTGCTCAACATGGTAACAGTCTTGCCGCCAGGGTGGATACATTTAGAGAAAATGCTGCTGAAGGTTACCTTCAGTGGTGACTGCACGCCAAGGCATAGGTTATGTCAATTCTACAGAAGGGGAAAATCAACCAGTCTCAGCTCTGATGTTCAAGATAGATCACATGACTAAGGTTCCTTGACCTTTAGACACACGACTGGCACTGGAGAGAGCCAAGAGCAGCATTTTCACCTGGAAAGCTAAGCATTTCAGATTTTCTATTACTCATCATGTAGGTAGAGTCTTACATGTGTAACATGCAAATTCAAGCACAGGTCTACTCAGGGTTGTCTTTAATATTGATTGGACCCTGGGCAAACATTTTCTTGGGCCCCGCGCCCGTCATGCAATTTGGAGATGTCAGAGGGAGGCATGACCCCGCGTGAGACGTCAAGGGGTCACACTACGCAGCGTACAGCAGAGGGTGGAACGACACTATGCAATGCAATGCCGAGTGCCGCATGTGTATCTTTTGCAGGCTCAAAGGGGCAGCTGCTTTGGGCCCCACAACAATGACTGGGCCTGGGGCAACTGCATCTTTTGCCCCACTTTAAAGACAGCCCTGGGTCTACTTCAGCAGGAGTGTAGGTTTAACCAATAATCAGCAGGCTTTAGTTTGGATAGATAATTTAACTGATATTTGCTGACACAGGTCTGTTTATAAGGCAGTGAATGTGACTTTCACCAAGCATTCTCTGGTGCTGAATCAATGACCCATTTAAAACACATGGACCTGGAGGATTCTCCTTCAGAGAATGTTTGGAGAAAGCAGAGGGGAAGCTGGACATACTGTCACCGTGGGCAAAGGCTTAGAGTTGCGCCCCCCACCCAAGAAAGAAGTACTCTATCTACGCACCCAGTGGCACCCCTCTTAAAGCGGCAACCAGGGCACACGCTATCTTCAAGGAATGCCCTCAGAAGTCTGGACAATTATCTGGCATCCTAATGCTCTTCAAATCCATTTCCACAATCTCTGGAAAAGTCAAAGCTAACCATAAGCATTCCCTTGTTCGTATGTTACATTTATGGTGTAGAAAACGTATTCACTCATTTGAACATAGAGTATAAAATATTTCTATTGCGGCCTATTCATTTTAGAATTATTTGTACATACTTAGTGGTCATGCAACAGCCTAAAAAAAAAAAAAATGATATAAAATATTACAGTACATTTTTGTATGTGAAGATGAGGTTAGGAAGTACAATGCAAAGGCAATGCAAGCGAACTGGAAAAACAAAAATGCAAATAACAAAACAATTTTGGAAATCCTTTTTTTTTGTTTTTTATACAAATAAGTCCATAATACTGACATCTCTCCATAAGTTTTTTTTTTTTTTTTCCAATCTCTATTTTGGTTTCATCTCGACCCTGGTGTTGTCGTCTCCATCTAATTCGTACTCCTCTACTTGCCCGTTGGTCCACACCTTCATGCGGTCTGTTAAGTCGCTGGTTCTTGGTGCCAAGATGAAGTCGTAAATGAAAGCTGCAGCGGCACCCCCGATCATTGGACCGACCCAGAAGATCTAATTATGAGGGAAAAGGATGAGTGGGGTTTTTTTTTTTTCCGTGGACCAGTCATACAATATCAAGGGTTAATACACTCAAAATCTCAGATTTGGGTTTCTTTGTCAATAAGGCCCTTTAGTAGCTCTTTTTTGTTCCACCCCCATCATGTTTTCTCATGTCTGCAGCTGCACTGCACTTACTTCAGAATGTAAAAGGACTAACGGTTGCAGCAAGAAAAGTGAGATCCCCTAATAATCGTGTGCTGAGATAGGCAGGGCCGGATTTACTCTCTCTGCTGCCCCAATGCCAGGTTCCTCAATGTCCCAGGCATCAGGAGATAGGAATTCCACACCCCTGCTGCACCTCTTCTCCCTGCTGCCCCAAGGATGGGCCCCGGTTGGCCTTGTGGGAAATCTGGCCGTGCCTGTGGTACGAGAGCTGCGCTCTGGGTCTCATCCGAATAAGGTTGAAGAGTTTTAACACTTATCATAAAATAAAAATTGGTGGCATCACAATTGCCCCTGGGGGCACTTTGCAGAGGTGTGAACAATTCTATTATGGCTGTGAAGGGAAGACGCGATGGGAAATCCGGCCCTGGAGATAGGCACTTACATGATGTGGCCAAAGGTTGTGGACACCTGACCATCACACCTTTGATGGAGTTTGATGGACATCCCATTCCAAAACCATGGCCATTATTATTAAGTTACCTCCCTTTTGCAGCTTTAATAGCCTCCACCCTTCTGGCAAGGTCTTCCACAAAATTTTGGAGTGTGTCTGTGGAAATTTGTGACCATTGAGTCAAATGGATATTTGTGAGGTCAGGTACTGATGGTGGCTGAGAAGACCTGGATCACAATTAGCTTTCCAATTCATTCCAAAGGTGTTCAGTAGGGTTGAGGTCGGGGCTCTGAGCAGGACACTTGAGTTCCTTCACACCAAACTCACCAAACCATGTCTTTATGAGAGCTGGTTTTGTACACAAGGTACAGTTGTGGTGTAACAGGAAAGGGTCTTCTCCAAACTATGACCACAAGGTTGGAACCACACAATTGTCTAAAATGTCTTTGCAAGGTAAAGTAGCATCAATAGTACCTTTCAATGGAAACACCTAATTCATTTGTGCATGTTCAAATACTTTTGACCATATAGTCAGTGTGATGGTTATATCGTATGTGTCCAGAGATCTCATCAGAAGAGTACCCAAACTTACAGAAAAAAATGGATGATTGTACTTGCTACCCTCCAACAAGTTTTGGGTGCACTGAACAAGAATTAAATGAAACAACGGCTGTACAGAAGTGTATATGCATCCCATAGACATAAGAATATCTTTGTGTCCTCCCGTTACCCTAAGGAGAACTATGGGGAAAAGCCTTAACCCCATAGTTCTCCTTTAAAATATTGCAGTTAGATAACCTTACAGAAGAACTCCATTAATATCAAAGCCTAAAGATTCAGTGGTTTGTAAGCTATTCTAGGAGAGGGTGTTATATACGAGTTGTACAGCAGTCCTTAAAGGTTTGCTAGTAGCAGCCCAGGAAAACTGAACCACTGAAAGGAAATTCCACTTCCGGACTATCCCAGAATTCTAAAATTTCATTTGTAATATTCTGTGAACTTACCCAATGATGTGTAAAGTTTTTCGTCAGTACTGCTGAGCCAAAGGACCTGGCGGGGTTCATTCCACATCCAGTGTAGTCAATCTGCATAAAGGATAAAAGATAAAATGAATGTCGCACATCGTTCTCTAGCTGTAGCTATCATCGCATCTGCAAATGAAATGTTGGATGGGAACACATAACAAACATGTAGTGGGAGTTTTCTTAAATTTGGCTGCAAAATTGGCAATAAACGTTAAGGCGGATGTCCATCCAAAATGCTTCTTTTCCTTAGGAAGTCCCTGTGATACCAGGACAAGAATAGGGGTTGGAGGGGTTATCACTGACAGCAATAACAGTATAACAAACGTTGTAACTCGTCACTACACTACTAACAATATGCATTTGTTTTGCATGTATAAGTGTTTTTGTGTTGTTTTTGTTTTCTGTATCCCTTTTGGAGTGATTTCCCATGGCTTCCTGTCCAACTACTTGCAGTTATCCAAATCCAGCCGTGAACCCAGCAATCATTTGTTGTGGAGTAGTGGCATGGGATCACAGCAGTCACATCTGCAAATGGGACTCCTGTGCTGGAGGGCACTGAGTCAGCTCCCTTCCTCATCTTTACTAACCTGCATTACATGACATAGTAAACCAGAGGTTGTGGAGGGTTGCGGTGCTTTGAGAATAAGATCCTTCACACCAGAGCTGCTCGAGTAAGCTGCTGAGGAACGTGGAAACGGTGCATTGACCACAGAGGAAGCACAAGGAAGCAGGACTGAACCCTGCACCAACCCTTAACAGCTTCCAGATCTTCACATCACATCACATTAATCAGCTCTGTGCAGTTTTTGGTGTTATACTTTATGGCAAACCAAACTCGTCAAACCATGTCTTAATGGAGCTGGCTTTGAGCACAGGGCACAGTCATGGTGGAAAAAAAAAGGGTCTTCACCAAACTGTGTTGGAGGCCCACAATTGACTAAAATGTGTTTGTATGTTGTAGGATTAACAGTCCCCTCCACTGGAAACACCTGAACTCATTCATTTGGAGGGGGGGTGCACATGTTTTTTTTTGCCATATACAGTGTATATATTGCAGGTTTAATCAAATGCCCCAAAGCAACAGAGAGTCCAATGGCGAGAGGAACGGATCCAGAAACATCGTGTCGCCGTCGGTCTGTGACTGCCACAACGCAAAGGACCAGCTGGAAAGTGACGAGGATCTCCACCCCCAATCCTTGTCCAGCGGTCACTCCTGTACTGAGCTGCAAGAGACAAGAGGGACACATATAGGATGACAGTAATAATAATAATAATAATAATAAGAAGAAGAAGAAGAAGAAGAAGAAGAAGAAGAAGAAGGGGAAGAAGAAGCAGAAGGGGAAGAAGAAGAAGAAGGGGAAGAAGAAGAAGGGGAAGAAGAAGAAGAAGGGGAAGAAGAAGAAGAAGGGGAAGAAGAAGAAGAAGAAGAAGAAGAAGAAGAAGAAGAAGAAGAAGAAGGGGAAGAAGAAGAAGGAAAAGAATAAAAAGGAGAAGGAAAAGATGAAGGAGGAGAAGAAGGAGAAGAAAAAGAAGGAGATGGAGAAGAAAAAGATGAAATTAAAGGAGAACAAGAAGGAGAGGAAAAAGGTGAAGGAAAAGATGATGAAGAAGAAGAAAGAGGAAAGAGAAGATGAAGGAAAAGGAGGAGAAGGAAAAAATGAAGGACAAGGAGAAGAAAAAGGAGAAGAAGACATTGCAGAAGAAGAAGAAGAAGGAAAAGAAAAAAGAGAAGGAAAATAAGGAGGAGAAGATGAAGGAGAAGTCCATAAAAAGAAAGGAAACACTAATGCGCTGCTTAATTCTGAACTCCAGGCAGATATAAAAGACACAAATGATAATATTGATGAATGTATTTTTAGAATGGGAGCAGTGTTGTAAATACCTAATTTTGAGTTGGTATAAAGCCTGTTGTAGCCCCCTGTAGAGCACACTCAGACTGAGAGAAGGAAAAGCGGCACACGGAGCCAATCAGTTATTGCCAGGCACTTTGACCACCCAGATCTCATGCTATCCATATTCATTTTTGCTTTTGTTTTCCGGTACATGAATTTACTGCCAACACTCAGGCCCTGATGAAGGGGGAGTTCTGAGCCCCCGAAACGCATTGGCTCTTTGATTATTTGTCCTGAAACAATACATTTCTTACTGGACTGAATCAAGCATTGTGGTACATTCATCCTTCTAATGCTCTATTACTCCAGGGACCCTTTAGGATGCCCCCGGAAATGGGGGCATCCAGCCTCTTTTGACCATTTCCGGAGAGTCGGAAATGGTCAAAAGAGGCTGGAGGAGATCAACAGCCCTGTGATTTAAAAAAATATCTGTTTTGGGGTGGATTGAGTCTTTACAGTAAAGGCTAACTCCATCTTTTATTAACTTGTTTCATGTGATACCCATATTCAGAGTGTCACATGAAACATGGTCCCATCTATAGACCTCACCCCCAACCTGCTTCTTAACAGAACCCTGGGGTTCTTCTACCCGCAAGATTCTGTGCTCTGTCCATACACCTACATCATCATCAAGATTCATTCTTCGTGGCAGAGGAACTCATAGTGTATAAGAGAAACGTCACCAGCACACCAAATTCCTTGAATGATCATCAATCGTGGATTTATTGAAGACACATGTGACTCATAGTTCCCAATGAGGTTTCCGCACTAGTCCATTGGTACTTTGACAGCAGTGACATGCGGTGCCTTCAGTGCTGGTTGAGGCATTCCCCAGCCCCACTCCCAGCACACCCCACCCCGCCCCCAGCCCAATGAAGCCCCACCTCATCCAGTTGAAACCCCACCCCTGTCCTGCCAAAGCCTGCTGTAACCAAGCTATGAGTGGAGGGAGGAGGGAGGAGGAAGGGAGGAGACACAGAGGAACCTCCCTATCCCTCACTTGCCCATCACAGGTGAGGCATCCAGATCGATGTCCTCAGTGTTTTTTTTTTTTTTTTTTTGATTGGACAGCTTGGACCAATGGCGCTTTGCCATTGGTCCAAACCATCTACAGAACTCAAGCCTCTAACATAGAGTAGAGGCTGGTGCAGCTCTTGCCTCAGTATGTTAGGTTACACAAGCAGTGGGGAAGCTCGCTAGCGTGTAACCTAACTACCTGTCAAAAGCCGGATGCAGCGCCGACTGTAATTAACTGGCAGCGCTCCGTCCATGACAAGTTACACAGCGGGGAGGATTTCCCTGCTCTGTAACCTGTAACAAGCCGATCTGAATGGAGAAAAAGCTGTCAGCTTCAGACTTGACTTATGACACTTTTTTTCTTCATAATACTAAGTGATGCTCTGCCTCCCTTGACCGCACGTCCCTGTTCCAGGGACCCTTTAGAATGCCCCCGGTTTACAGAGAGTCGGAAATGAAAAGAGGCTGGAGGAGATCAACAGCCCTGAGATTAAAAAAATATCTGTTTTGGGGTGGATTGAGTCTGTAAACGACTAACTATATCTTTCATTACAATGTTTCATGTGACATCCACATTCAGGATGTCACATAAAACATGGTCACATCTATAGCCCACCGCCCCCAACCCGCTTCTTACCAGGATCCTGGGGTTCTTCTCCCCACAACATTTTGTGCTCCGTCCACACAGCTAAATCATCAAGACTAATCTTCCACCATGGCAGAAAAACTCATAATTCCCAATGGAATACAAGAGCGATGACGTTACTTGTAGTCCATTGGCACGTTGACAGGGGCTGAGAAGGACAGTCTGCAGGAGCCAGAGCATTGTGCCCATCATCCACAGATCGCAGTTGGAATGCTTTGCAGGCGCCAATGCAAAAAATCAATCAATCAATCTTTATTAAATGTATAGATTTTTTGGCAAAGCTGGACTCCGCCTTCCAGTCAATATAGGAAATCCGTTGGCACATGTAAGTATAACTAACAACGGACGACCGAAATCAAGGCAGAATAATAACAATAAAAATAGTGGGGAACAACAAGGTAGTAAACTTTTGTCCCACAAAAAGAGAGGAATTAGAGAACTATAGGGTTAAGGCTTTTCGCCATAGTTCTCCTTAGGGAAATGGGAGGGCACAAACTAGCGTCCTCCCGTCACCCTAGGCTCAGTATACTGAGACGCCGCAGCTGAAGCGGATCCCACTTTACAATGTGAAGAGCATGTCCTAACGTATAGCAACCAACACATTTTCAGTAACATTTTAATAGGTTGCTGCGTAATTTTGCATTTAGTTTGTGCAAAGTGCAAAAAAAAAAAGATTTATTTCCCGGGAGGACAAAAGTTTTCTATCGCAAAT